TTTATTTGTAACATGTTTTTACACTATTTAAATATTTTTTATTTTTTTTATTTTTATTTTTTTGACATACAAAAATGAAATTGACGGACTTTTCATTTACCTATATTTCTTTGCCTGGTGTAACAAATTTATATACCTCGTGTATAATAATTACCTGAAAAGCATTTTGACAGGGTATTAGTCCACGACTACAATTAGTAACTCCTCCATAGACATATGTATACTTAAATATATTTGTACACAAAGAACCGGCTGTTTCTGCAGCAGCTGTTTGGCTTATGTTTAAGTTATTTCTAGCAATGTAAATACGCATCTACTGTATAATACGCAGGTCTTGCGTTTTTTATCGTAATGCGTAGCAATTAACGAGCTTTAAATTTGTTTTAGGAGCCGCGGATCAAGCAGAGAATTGCGAGAGTTTGTTTAGTAAAAGCCTATTAATATGCATTGAGCTCGACGACGCGTCGTCAATTGCGTGTAGTTCAGCTGGGTGCTGAGTGATCTAAGGATGAGGGCTGGACACCTCGGGCATTGTGGTGCGAAACTCTTCAATCCAATCCATCCATCAAGCGACGCATTGAACACTTTAAATAATTGCACATTGTGGCTGAGAGGCTTTAATAAAATAATTAAAATGAAATATGCCATACGGCTGGCTCCAGCTGGAAACAATATGCGAGCGCGAGCTCCTGCTTCACAGTCCACTGAATGGTCAGAGAGTCTGAAAGAAGTAAAGAAGATAAAAAAAAAAATAATAATAATAATAAAAAGCATCAGAAACCACGAAGAATCAGCGCAGAATGCTAGCCATGTAGAAAAATGTGCGGGCTACCAATCTACGCATTTTTTTAACCATTTTATTCTCTGGTCTTTTGTTTTTGTTTCACGTCTCTTGGACGTCAAAGGGAACGCCGACACGAGTAAAATGCGAGCGATAAAATGTTTTAAAGAAATCGCTGAAAGCGTACAAAAACAACAACAACAAACGAAAAGGAGAAAAAAAAAACTTATTATATTAATTTCAATTATTTACGTACGGTAAGCAGCACGCAAGCCGATTTTCAACAGCGATTCCCACGTTGAGAAGCGCAGAGAGGGGCGCAACTCTAAGTGGCATTTTGTGCGCTAAATGCGCGCAATTTGTTACAGGATTTTTTCTGCCATAGCCAAATGGAAGGGAGCACTGTGAAAACTCATTGAGGAAAACTGTGGGAAAAGCTAAGTCTAAGACTATGCAATTTATAATTATCAGCGGTAGGTGGCGCTGCAGTGGCCGCACAGTTCGCCCAGTGCTCGCCAAGTGCTCCCAGAGTCTTATGCAATAATCGTCGCATGTTGATCACAGCAGCGGAAGTTATTAGAGCAAGTTTCGAGTTATGCCAGCCAGTTCCAAAGAACTTTAAAGCGTAGCTTAGCGTTCTTCAGCATTGAGATTCCCAACAGCGTCGACAGCCGCCGCTTTGGTTTCACTCGCTTCTAATTAAAGACGACACTTTGGCATGTACTCAAAAGCGTCGACTCGAGCACGGAAATGCCTCGCGCCGAAGCTTTCAAGAATCGTTTTTTGATATTTGTGGAGTACCGAGAATTGTACGACTTTCCAGTTGATTGTTGGACATGAAACACTTGTGTGCACGGCCGCCATTCATTTCCTCAATTCGAATTCGAATTCGAGCCCCAAATTCCCATTGCCAATTTTATTTTTATTTTATTTTATTTTTTTTTTTTTATCTTGTAAGTTTGAACCTCTAATAATCTTCTTAACCTTTCACATGGCGAACGCTCGCCGAGAGCCCCTGAAGATTACAATTAAATGTAGCCAGTCGACTGTTTCAGAGCGCACAGCGGGGCAGCTAAAGGTGCACAAAAAATAAGAAAATTTAGAGTTGGCTTCTTATAAGAGAGCATAATTGTGAGATTATTTATATATTAATGGAGAGCTGTGAGCTCCAGCTCCAGCTCCAGCAACGGTGTTATTTAATTGCCAAAAATAAAGCCAGGGAAACGCAATCAGAAAAGATTACAAATTATAAAATTGTGGCAGGTGTCCCGAACGAAACGAGTCAAGTCGGGTTTTGTTTTTGTTTTTTATTTTGTATTTTTCATTTGCGCCTACATAAAACATTCATTAGATAAGAATCGGTGGCCGGCCAGCCACCATATGCATACATAATAAAAAAAAGCTCCACTCCGCTCGGCTTTTTGGCCAACAATGAAAAAGCCAAGCTGCCAACTGCCAACTGCCAGCTGGCAAATATCAAAAGTCCTAACCGAGAGGGGCGCCTCATGTTACACTTGAGAGTTGAAGATTAATTGTTGCCGCCTGTCGTAGGCCTGCGAGTTCGATCTCTCAGTCTAAGAGTTCGTCGAGGTTCAGGGAATTCGTTTTTCTTCTTTTTTTTTTTTCATATTCCCCCCCAACTTTGGCTAATTTGATTAATTAAGCGTAGCATCAGAATGGCTAAGCGTATTCAATGGGCGCCCAAAGGGCCTTTTAGATTAATAATAACAATTATTATTAAATATTATGTGGCCATAATGAAAGCCAATTAGCTGCCGACAAGTGGAATGGCTGGCGGGGTGACCAAGCGGGGTAACCAAGTGCCAAGTGACATGACTACAAAATATTACACAAAATCTAATCTTAGCCATGAGTGAGTGGACAGCCATGACGTAGTCGCCGCAATAGACTTTGTGTCACTCGTCTCGCTGAATCATGCATTCAGATATCTATGTTAAATAAGTGACAGCTATGCCTCATCGATAAATGTTGGCGCACTTATCGATTGCTGATTAATCAAGTGAAATGAAACGAAATGGAATGAAATGAAATGACTGCATTCCTCAGGGTTTCTCTGGCTGGCTTTCAAACAAGCGCAAACACTTTCTAGGTCTGCGTCTTCGGCGCCCTTGAGGCCCTTCTGATATTAAACATTCAACAGTTCTTTCTTTTTTGCCAGAGTTTCTGCACATGCGGCTTAAATATGTATGTACGTATATATGTACATACATATATTATACGTACATGATTTCTTTTTAGCCGCTCTTTGGCTGGCCAAAAGTTCATTAACACTGCGCACAGAACTTCAGTTACAAAACCCAACAACGAACCGCAAAAAAATTTAAGAATTAAAGAATTTCCAGCAAAAAATAAAATAAATGTGTAGAAAAAAAATAAAAAATAGAAGCACGCAGCGGTTTTCATTTTAATGGAAAGATAGCCTCGCTTTTTTGTTCTTGCCTTATTCTTGTTTTGGCTTAATTAAAAATGCAAATTTCTTCATGTATGTGAAGATGCCTTGAAGTGTGAGTGATATGTGGGCGTTCGCCTAGTTCGAGGCAGTCCAATTTCTTATTTCAATCAGTGAAATTGTGCAGACTAGAGTCTTCTTCTTCCACATCTTCTTTGTGCTCAACTCGCCCTAACGATTGACCCGAATACGCAATAAAGCTGCCAAAAAAAAAAAAGGAGAAATAATCCAAACAAAAATCTGTCAACCTAAACAAAAACTTTTTCTATTCTTCATTAGCAAAACTTTCGCTTTTTGTTTTTGTTTTTCTTTTTTTGGCTTTGTTCCGTTTTCAGTTAAGACAAAGCTTTGTTTATCCATAATTTGTTTATTTAAATCTCAGCTCGTCTCTGGCATTATGATAGCTACTTATTATTATTATTGCTATTATTATGTATATTGCTGCAGATGTTGCGGCTCTTGCGGTTTTTAATTGCCCTCAGCTAGAAGAGTAGTTGAGATATAAATATCTATTTGCTTTTGGGGTATACGTAAGATGTGCCTAAAGTCGCAGAGGGGTTAGCGCATAATGGCAACTATTTCGCTCTTTTTTTTTTGGGCGAAAGTTTTCCGTTTCCAATTTTTTGTTTTGTTTTTTGGCTTATTATAATTATAGTCTTAGCGGCCGGCTAATAGACATAAGTTTTGGAAATTGTTTTTTAAATTGTTTCTTTTTTTCTTTAATTCTCTTGCACAAATCTTTCATTCACAGCTTACTACGCAAACTCAGTTTACCTGTAAAGACCAAAAACAATATCCAAGTGATTTACAATCCTCAACAAGTTTTTAAACCTTTAATAACCTCTACGATTTGTTTTATGTGCCTTAACTAAGCCCTAACCTCTTAGAAATATCAGTTATATAATCAAAGTAATAATCGTTATCGATAAATTAGAATGTCTATGATTATGTCAATTCTTCGATCTCATTCACCCCTATTAAATGTCTATAATAAATTTGCCAGTAATTGTGTTTATTAAATATCTATTATCTGTTAATCGAATAATTGGTTTCTCAAATTCAACTTGATATATTGTTTATTGCACATTTTCGATGTTTAGGACTCTTATCGATAAGGCAAATCAAGCTAGCTGTCTTCTATCAAATTAATCGATTTATCGTTTTATTAGATCACTTATCAATAGGTCTTCACATTTTGTTGCGGAGTACATTTCATATTTTGAATATTTAACGATACTTATCGATTTATCAATCTAGTATCCTGCTATACTGTTTTTTAAATAATATTCACCTAAATTACAATTGATAATCAAAAAAAATTTGCAAGCAAATAACGTATATTTTATATTTGATAAATGTATTGAGTTACTCGTGTACTTATCGATACCTGCACTTATCGATAACCTTGCCTCCCAGTTACTTGTATATCCTCGTTTTGTTTTATCCACTTGTTACTCCTCGTGTATTTTGCTAACCAAAGCCTTTCCCCTTCTCTCTGTCGCTTCCCTTTACAGATCTTGGTACCCTTAACAACCACAACCACAACAACAGCATCGGCACAGTTAACATCACAGCAGCAGCAGCAGGAGCAGGAGCAGGAGCAACTGGCAGCAAGAAGCCTCTACTAGCCACAGCGAGCGCGACAAAGACTTCCACTTCCACATTGACTTCGACGGCCTCGTCCGCATCCAATTCGTGCCCAACGCTCGGCCCAAGCTTGCAGCCCAAGCATAACCACAACAACAAAATGGAGCTGCTGAGCAGCCCAGCAATAGCAGCAACAACCACAACAGCAACCGCCACGAAGCAGCTGCTGGTGCAGGACTACCTGAGCTACGCATCCCCACCGACCTATTCCCGACTGCCACCCGATGGCCACGAGTTTCCACCCAACTTCAGTGAGCCGCTCATAATGCATCCCAAGCTGAGCTTCGAGCACAACAACAACAACAGCAGCAGCAGCAGCAGCAACAACAGCAACAAATTGGACGCTGCACCACCGCTACCCAAGACGGGACCGCCTCCAACCGTGCCGCGTAAGATGTATCGCCAGGATTTGGTCATCAATATGGAGGATGCGCGTCCGACAGCACGCGCCACAGAGAGTGCGGCCACAGCGCCATCTGGCGGCGGTGGCGTGCGCGACTATCAACGTTCCTTGAGCGCCAGTGCGCCGCGCAAGCCCAGCGATTGGCGCAAAGACGAAAAGTCCGAAAAATCGGTGCGCGACAAAATAGCCATGTTCTCATCCAGCAACGAACTGGACGCCATTGCGCCAGCTCCAGCCACAGCCAGCTCCAGTTCCACTTTCTCTCGCAAGCCACTGAACATGAGCAGCGAGAATCTGCTGGAGGCGGCCTCCTCGACCCCAGCGCCTTCCCTGAAGACGCGCGCCATGAGCGTGGAGAACCTGAACGATGCACAGCGTCAGTACCAGTTGGCCAAGCAGCTGCCGCAGCTGCATGTGGCCGACTCCATGTACTCGCTGCACACGCTGAGCACGCCGAGCAACGGCAGCAGCAGCATCGGCGTCGGCGGCGGCAGCAACAGCAGCAGCAGCAGCAGCTACAACTACAGCTATGCCTCCTTGCCACGTCGCACGCATGGCGGCAGCAGCAGCAGCATCACCTCCTCGGCTGTAGAGCGTCGCATCAGCTTCTCGGGCGAGGGCGATGCGGCCACGCGGAAGGCGGCCATTACCAACATATTGGAGCAGCGGCGTCGCAGCTTGTCCAAGCTGCGCGGCCTAGTCATACCGGAGCGGCCGCAGCTGCTGGAGCCCATACTGGATCTGCCCGAGATCAAGAGTCAGGTGAAGGCGGCGAGTGGAGAGGACTCGACGGACAGCGGCCTGGGCGAGATGCGTCCGCTGAGGCAGGCCAGCAACAGCACCATCAGCAGCAGCAGCATTAACTCCAGCAACATTAGCAACAACAACAGCAACATGAATGGCAGCAGCTATCGCAGCTTCCTTACGGCCACACAGCGTCGTCCTTTGGAGACACAGCTCTCGCAGCCGCCTGCCAAGCCGCCCAGGACATCGCTAGCTAGCACTTTGAGCATGCCCAGCCGGCCAACCCCGCAACAGCAACCACAGCAGCAGCAGCAACCACAGCAACAGTTGCCGCTGCAACAGAGCTTCCTCGCCGATCAGGAGAGCGACACAGATTCCGTATTCTCCAATACGGCACGCGTGCCCACGCCACCGGAGAAGTTCGCGCTGACACGCACGCTCAGCTCGGAGACAAACACTTCGATAGCCAGCTCCAACACCTCCACCTTGACGTCGGGCTCCTCGGCCGGCTCGCAGGCCAGCTGCAGCTCGCTGGGCAGCACGCCCACCGTGGATCTCACCCGGCGCGTGCTCAAGTGCCAGCTGAATGGCAGCGCCAATGCCAATGGCAATGGCAACGATGCCAATGCCAGTGCCAACAGCAATCGCAAGAGCATCCTGGCCTCGGCCAAGTGCCGCAGCGCCAAGAGTCGCGGACAGGAGAACTTCAATGACAACGACAACGACAGCACCGATGGTGAGGCCTGCGTCCTGAACGGGCGTCGGCTCAAGTCTAGCTACAAGCAACAGCAGCAGCAACAGCAGCAGCATCAACTGCTGGCCAAGCAGCTGGTGGTGGACAAGCTGATCAATGTGGCTGCCTATGTGGAGCTCACCTCGGATACGGACGACAGCAGCCGGCGCTCGGATACGCCGGCCAAGATCAGTGCCATGTTCATCGATGAGGAGCGCAAGGCCAGCTTCAAGGCCGATCCCGTGCAGCAGGCCAAGCTGCGCGTGGTGCAGGCCAAGCCTGTGATTTGCCCCATGCCGCAGCGCACTCAGACGCCAAAGCTGGGCCTGGGCAGCGCCAGCAAGTCGCAGACGACGGCTGAGCTGCGCGAGAAATTTGAGCGCAGCGCGGCGGCGGCTGCAGCAGCGGCCACGCCCCCAGTTCCATTGCCCGTGCACAAGGCAATCACGAGCGTTGCCCTGGCCAACGCTAAGCCGCATCATGAGCGCTTCAGCTCGCTGGATTCGCTGGCCTCCAGCTCCTCGGGCGTCAGCTCGACCACACAGAACGTGAGCACCACCCAAGAGACGGCCACGGAGTTCGGCAGCTTCTCATCGTTGGGCAGCAATCAGAGCTTGATTACGGCACAAGATGTGCAGCAGATTGTCGAGGAGGCCGATCCGCCACTGAAGACACCGGAAGCCTTCATCATAGTCCTGCAGCGGGATACGCCAGAGAGCAGCATTGGCATCACACTAGCCGGTGGCTCCGACTATGAGGCTAAGGAAATAACCGTGAGTCCTCCATATAAATATATTCATTTATATATGAGACGAACTAATATTGCATCCTCTTCATTTCCAGATCCACAAAATATTGAGCAACACGCCCGCTGCCAAGGACGGACGCCTGAAGAAGGGCGATCGCATCTTGGCCGTCAATGGCATGAGCATGCGAGGCCTAACACATCGTGAATCGATCAGCGTGCTCAAGGTGGGCATGCATACACATATATACAGCTATTTATATAACTAATCTTTAATTTTCTGCCCCTCCACAGACACCTCGTCCCGAAGTCGTCGTCGTGGCCACGCGCTCCGAATCGCTGATCATCAAGCCGCTGAATAAGAAACGCTCTTCGCTGGGCTCGCTCAGCTCACTGAATGAGAAGCCGACTGAGCTGGACTACGAACGCAAACGCAACTACCACAAGGCATCGCGATCGCTCGATCTGGATCTGGACATTGTGTCCAATGAGGGTGGCGCCAGCACCGTGCCCAGCACGCCGAGCACGCCCAGCACGGGCACGAGCAGTCCGCAGCAGCCGGCCAGTCTGCTGGATGAGGCGAGCAGCAACGATGCAGAGTTGACCATTGCGGGCATTCGGGCAAGGCGTCAGCTCTCTCGCGGAGATGCAGCCAAGCTGAGCACCAGTGAGCTGCTGGAGCGTGCTGCGGAGGCACGTAATGCCATTGCCGCGGAGATACGTGCACAGGGTAAGCGATCTGAAGCCTACAGATCTAGTGGAGTCGTCTTAAACCTCTATTTGCTATTGCAGCTGAAGACGTGGCGTCTGGCGCTGGTGCGCGTTGCGTGGAAATCATCAAGGACAGCTGTGGACTGGGCTTCTCCATTGAGGGCGGCTTCGACTCGCCGTTGGGCAATCGTCCGTTGATTGTCAAGAAGGTCTTCATGGGTAAGTCAAGTGCCAGCTCCAGCCAGATTGCAATTACTAAGGTCTATTTTCTCCCCAGGTGGTGCCGCCCAGAAGACCAATCAGGTGCGCAACGGCGACGAGATCCTTAGCATTAATGGTGCCTCAACGGCGAGAATGACGCGCGTCGATGCCTGGAACTATATGAAGCAGCTGCCGCTGGGTCCGGTCAAAATTACATTGGCCTAGATTCTATATAGCTTGATAATGATAATGCGCCACAATTTTTTAGTTTAGTAGATTGAAGATAGAGGGAAGAGAGCAGGCGAGCTGCGACGTTTTGTTTCTGCATTTAGAGAGCGATCTATATACATGTAATCGTAATCATATATACATCTCTATATATATATATATTTAAATAATTTAAAGTGCAATTGATATAACTTTTCTAATTTGAATTGGGGCTGCGTCCTCTATTAAATATATATATACATATACACTTACATTTTATATATCCCTTGATTGTACATAACTATCTTAACTAATTTACGTATTTAATTTTCTCAAACGATACAAAGAAATGGAAATTTTTGTAACAGTGGTATTTTCTTTTACATATTATTGGTTTACACATGATTTCTGAGTGCACGCAAAAAAACAAAAGTTTGAAGCAAATCAAATTAAATAAATAATATTTTATATATTTTATGCCATAATTTATGCGGGAACGATATATAAATAATTATTTTATTGTTTAAACGAAAGCAAACAAAAATCAATGTTTACATTTACAAAAGTATTTGCAAAAAAATATATATATATAAATAAAATAAACCATATTATGCAAATTATTCAATATCTAAAATGGCTTTTTAATGGAGTTTAACTTGTGGCAATATATTTTTATATGGTAAACACACAAACTGAAAAATATATACCCTCAAAGTTAAATGGTTCGCTAATTGGGGCATGACTGAATTGGAATCCCCATATAGATATTTTTTCCTGAATCATAAATCTAAATATTGGATAATATATATATCTTTTAATGATGCTATATAAATGTATAAATTGAGCTATCTTCTTAAACCATTTTTTGGGGTAAAGCAAACAAGAAACCAAGTTTATAATCTATAAATTGTTAAATGTACATTTGTATTTCTGGAAAGCCTAAAAGTATGCAACGCCTTTAGCACCTTAAAGCTTGGCTTAAAACTGAAGAAATCAAATCAATTTTGACCAGGATTTTTAAAACGTAGTTATATTGCTTTCTACTATTTTTTGTTATTTTTTTTATAACCCTTTTTGTATTTAAAAATATACTGTTAGCTCTTTATAGCTCTCATACATATCTCCTGAAATCAATACGTTCAAATGACTCAGCTTGCCGCTCTGATCAAAAATATATATTTTCTATGGGATCTGTCATGTCTCCTTCAGCCTGCCACATACTTTTTCACGAGAGCATTAGATAATGTTATATAAATACGATATATAAAATATAAAGTATACAATATGAAACAGAAAGTGATAATATATAAAATTTTAAATCATCTGCTAATTGTAAACTAATAATATTTGAAATTATTATGAGTTATGTGATTATTTAGGTTCAATAATTTATCCTAAAAAAAAAAGAAGAAATAAATCAAAAAGAGTTCAATTATTTATCCTAAATGAAAAAAATCAAAGGAACTATTTGACTACAATGTCATTTATATTCTTTCAAAAAGGTAACTTCCGGGTCATCGACTCGGTAGATTTCATAAAAACAACGACAATGCTTTATCTAGAAAATAATTCCTAGATCTATTCATTATTAAATTATAATATTTCTCTATATAATAAAATCCCCCAAATTATTTGAGCTATTCCTTGACCCACTTGAAAACAATATATGAACTTATGCAAAACAATGAAAACATTTTTATATGAAAATATGTGTATTTAATGTAAATATTACATTTTAAAAATCGTAACGTCTTACAACTACAACTATACCCAAGTGGCAATGGGTATGTGGAAATTACTGTACAGCGTAAATTCGAAATGGTTAACACAGCGCCGTCTGCAGCTGCGGCCATCTTTGGGCATATATCTAGGCGATTCAATTGTTATACCTAATTAGAGATCTTTGGAGGGTTTGGGCGCCAGCTTGGGCAGTTGTAGCGAGCGACCCAACAGGCCCAGGTGCTGCACAGGAATGGTGGAGTGGGCGGCCTCGGCCTGGCCATTAGTGCGTGGTTGACCGTTCGCCTTTGTGCCGCCCTCAAATATTTCGCTCAGCAGCTCGTAGACGCGGCGCTTGAAGTAGAGTTTCTGATGGAAGTCCATGTGATTCATTTCGGGACGCAGGCCCTGCAGAAAGGCATCATCGAAGTCCGGAATGGAGGATTTGTTGTCAACGCTGTGTTCATCCGTGTCGGCGCCAACGGCAGCTGGCTGCTGTGAAAGGTGAGAGGGCAGAGGGGGAGGCAGCTGTAGTAGGGTATATAATATATACATATACATATATACATATATATATATATAAGATTTTTTATGCACATGCTTACATCGTTTGACTTGGTCGGCACATCGACGGCCATGCGTCGCCGCTTCTTGGGCGGGAAGGGGCAAGTTTGAGCCACTGAATTCGTCTGCAATAGATTTTTCGGCTTTTGTTCGTCCTCGTCGCTCCGTGGGTGCGACTCAGCCACTGGTTTGTTCTGCAACTGGCTGGCGACAAGCTCACGCGCATGCTCCTCAGCCACCCACTCCGAGCTGTCCGTACTGTTCTCGTTCTCGTGCTCGTCGCTGCTAAGCGAATGCTTGATGTGGACCAAAGCGCCCACATCCTCGTCGTCGTTGTCATCGTACTCGTCATTGTCGTCCCCTCTGCGATTGCTGCTGTCCCGCGAGCGTCGGCCCTTCACGGGCACCGGCACCCCGGGCGTGATGTGCTTCTTGAGGAACTCTAGCTCCTCGCTGAGGTAATAAGGCTTAACGCGATTCGAGCCGCGCTGCACATTGATGGATCGCGCAAAGCTAGTGCGTATATTCCTGAAGCGCTCCTTGCAATTGTCAACTGCAAGAAACATTAGAGTTTCAATGAAAATGAAAATCAAATTCTATATTGCACCAAAATCCAGACTTACCTGTATCATTCATCTCTTTGGATATCTCCACCCAGGCCTGTTCCACAAGAGATTTGCGCATGTACGCTGCATGGGAGCGATCGTACATGCAGGGATGCTGCTCCACCAGACGGCAGATCTTGGCATTCACTGCATGCAGCTCTGGTGTTATGGTCTTTGTGGTAAGCGTTGCCACATATAAGCGGCTGAGGTTCCTTTTGTTTGCTTTGATGCTGCCCGTGCTGCGTCGTGTGTTCATATTGTTGCTGTCGTTGTTGTTAATATTGTCGCCGCTGGTGCTGTTGCTGCAGATGTTGCTGCGTGCACTACAAAATAACAAAAACAACAAATATTTATTCGACTCGTCCGTCAACTGCGCAGCAACACACTCTCAAACCAAATTGCAGCTTGGTTGCGTCCGTTTCCACAGCAACAACTGTCAACGTCGCTCTCTGCGCTCTCTTTTCTTCACAGACACACACACACACATACGCAGAGACTCACTCACTCACTCAAGCAAGCCAAAACAAACCGTGGCGTGCAGGTGACAAGAGAAACGAATTCCAGTTGTTTCACGCTCATGCAGAAACTGTTTCGGACGTTTCTGTTGCCTGCAGGGCGCAACAGCTGTTTCGCGCGTTTTCTGCTGGATGCCAGCAACAATTATATTTATTGAAATCCGCCAGCTCTCGCGGTGCTGGCTTACATTATGCTCACCTACCTGCAGTTCGTTATGTCCGTTTCTTGCCTTTTCACTTGTTTTGTTGTTGCTGCTGCTATTGTTACTGTTGCTGTTGTCGCTGTGGCTGCTGCTGTTGCTGCCGCGGTGAAATTGCTGTTGCTGCTGCTGTTGTTGCTGAGTTTCGTTCGCACGCTCGCTCACACACTCTTACAGTTTATTTGGGTTAACGTTTGCTCTCGCGCTCACTCTCAGCAATTTACTGACGATGTTGCTGCTGTAAAGCGTTGATAAGAGAATTGAAAATGTGACAGTAAATGTAATGCCAATGTGTTTAGTTACTAGAATGTTCAACTATCAGCTGTCAAGTTTACGTTCCATAAATGGCATTTAGTCCATGCTTCACACACTGAACTTTATTGGCATCTACAATGAATACATGCATACAAACCATACATACACAAATGAATTTTTGTTGTCGTACACAGCTAGTTTGCCGGCAAAACGAAACTCAATCGCTACATAGGCGCTGTCAGCATAAACAAAAACACGAGGGGATCAGTAAAGTATTGTGTTAAAACACCCTTAAACCATTTATAAATTACACGACGCTACTGCTCACGCACACAATGACAACTGCTCTCCCAGAGAGAATGAAGAGCGGCGTTGCCAGCTTAAAAGTCGTTGCTACAGCGAGTCGTTTTACAATAATAACAGCTGGCAGTGATGTTCGATCGGCAGAGATATATGTATTGTAGAACTGGCTGTGTGATGTAGCCCTGGTCTTCAAGCGCTTAATAATACAGATATAACCGCGTTAGTCAATATATTAATTAACTCACCAAAGTATGAAGTAACGTTTACAGGGTTTTAACTGGCACAAAAACTAAAAATTTTAGCAAACTCCAGTTCAACCTTGATTTGGATATACACTCATGATGAAAATAATAAGTACACCCAAAAATTTTTGAAGATTCTGTCATAACTAATTCATTTTTGATATTTTTGAAAAAAAAATCAATGGTAACTTTAAGAGAGCAATCTGACAATATGATGCATGCAAAAAAAAAAATTATATTTCCCCCTAAATTCATAGTAGTCACAATAAACTGAAATGGGCCTGCTGAAAATAATAGGTACACTCCATTACTTCAGCCCGAAAAAAAAAGTTTAGAATAAGAATGATTTCTTTTATTGTTGTAAAATAGTAGGTAACCTTCCTACAGATGTTTGATGTAAAAAAAAATTATCAATATCATATGTAGATGGNGATATACAGGATATTAATCCAAAAATATAATAGCAAAAGATTTTGAATGATTTGAAAATCAAAAAATTAAATACATCTTACGAAAGTAAAGTGTACCTATTATTTTTGTCAAGCAAAAAAAGCTCCATTTTTGTTAATTTGTTTGTAACTTTTAAAAAAATAATATTTTTTTTTCCAAATTTATGTATTTTCATTAATATATACCTAATACACAAATGTGCATTTAAATTTTCATGTTAAGGGCAGTAGAAAAAATGTTTTGCTAAACTAAACTCAAAAAAGTTTAATTTTAAGGGGTGTACCTATTATTTTCATCATGAGTGTAAATAACAATTGAAGAATAATCGCCGACGGCAGCAACAATGCAACCCTCCCAGTTTGGCCTGCCAATTTAGCTGGCGTCTGCTACACCAACACCAATGCATTCGCCTCTCTCAGCACTCTCGCGCTCTCTGACGGAATGTACGTGAGAATGTATATGAGTGAATGCGTGCGTATGTGTGTGTGTCAGTTTCGCAGCTGTGTCAGTTCGTTTTACATACGACGCGTGTTGGTGTCGGCAAGTTTCTCGCTCGATTTGTATTTGCTGTGAAATAAATATAAAAACCAACTGAAATTGCTCGTTGGTGTGTGCGTGCTGTGGCTAAGCCATGTCTACATATAAATCAAATGTAAAATTGTGCCGCGCTATTGCAAATCAGCCGATATTGTATGATGAAAGTAATGAACATTATAGAAAAAGATTGCCTTCAGAGAATTGCTGGGATTTAGTCGCTGCAGAGTTGGGAGAGCCTGGTAAGTAGTGTTGCAAAGTGAGGCGTGCGCAATTGCGCTTATCGTTATCGTGTATCGGCTGCTTGGACAACTGTTGAAAGCGAGTTGGCAGCGCATGCAGTGCTGTTAAATGACCAAATCTAACATGCCAATTCAAATTGGAATTAACGGTGTAAACTTTTGAAATATATATTCGCCAATTAATAATTAATAAAATATGAATTATTTAGTATTTTTTTTTCGTATTGTATTGCTCTTTTTGTTATTCTATAGTCTTTGAAAATAAAAAATAAATATAAATTGAACTCTTCTAATTTATTAAAAAAAAAAAAAAAAAAAAACAGCTTAACAGCTGTTATTAAATAAATAAATTTAGTAAATACTTCTGCTCAGCTTGAACTAACATAGTTAAAAGCTCTGTATCTTTGAAAAATGTTATCGATAGTAATAATAATTTTAGTTATCGATTTATATATAATTGGTCGTCACTGTACTTTTGCAATTGCCATTTTGACAGCAGGGTTTTGTCTGTGAGCAGAAAAGTTTTCGTATCGAAATGTCGTGTGACTCTCAAGGTAAACACACAATTAAGTTTTGGGTTAGTTAAAAATTTGAAAAAGGTTATCATGCATAAACAGTTTGCCCTTGTTAGCAGCCATTTATATGTTTATTCAATATTTTTTTTTCGATAACAATATTTTAATAAACAATTAATTTCTATAAATTAATAAATGGTGAGGAGCTAGCTGCGTTTTCTTTAAATATAGTTGAAATTTACATTAAATTTAAAGTTTAATTAACAGTTTAATTAATAATCAAAATATATCAGTTTAAGTCTTTTTATTTTGAATTTAGATTTGTATCAATTTAATTTAAACATTTAGAGATCGTAATTCAATAATGTTCTAGGCTTCGTTATTGAATATGTCTGATCATATATCATAAATAAAAAAATTGGCTTTGGTAAAGAGTTTTCCGTCTAGTTTACTACATAGACGCATTATTGAAAGAATCAGTAATTATTCAAGAGTTAGCTGCTTTAATTTTAGACTAAACTAATTGGAAAGATAATTTCAGATTTTTTTGACTTAATATATAATTAAATTTGCATGCACAAATATTTAAACTTATAAATATAGATA